GGTGTGAACAAGCTAACTTTATTCTACAAGCAATGGAGACTCCATGCAGGTTTTTAAAATAACATGTTTTTTCTTTTTAAACTTTTAAAATACATGCATTATAGAAAACTGAAAAGCAAAGAACACAAATGGTATCCAGAATATTTTGATGATTTGATTAGTTTGACATATCCTTCTACATCCTAGTATGTATACACAACTGAGCGTACATTTTTAGGTGGTTGAGTGTGTATATATTTTTGTATGAGAAACTAACCTGAATTATAAACTTTCACTTAAAGCACAATTTAAAAAAAAAAAAAAAGAATAAAGGGGAAAAGACACCTTAAAAAAAAAAAAAAGGCCATAATCTTGCAGACCTCACCAAACATCCTTGCAATTTTGCCATCTTGTCCCTATCAGGCAAAAAGTATAGCTTTAATATGGATTATAGCTGGAGTTGTAGGTGATCTGCGCAAGACTACAGGTGAATTCAGCAAGCAAAGAGGACTTTAATAATCACTGCCTAAAAAATTTACCTTAAATACATCACAAGTATAAACTGGCAAAAACCACTCAGATCAGAGAATGGTTTACACGGCCCAGGGCTTGTACTCTGTGTGGACTGCTCCACCAAGCCACAGAGATTGCCCAGGAGCAGCAGGCCTGGCTCTTGTACTAACAGGAAACTAATCCATGGTGTACTCCTCCGTGTCAGTGAGCTGGTGCTAGCCAGGACAACGTGTGCCCTAGGCCAGGGCACAGACACTTACGCTCCATAAATCTGCCGCGGCACCATGGGGCCACCTGGTGCTTTCCTCGCCTCTGGCTTCTCTGGAACTTTCCTCTGAGGGGGATTGCTGATTGCCACTCTGATGACATTCTCCTTGATAGTCATGCCGTCCATCTTCATGACAGCCTGCGACGCCTGGGATTCATTTTCATACTCCACATAAGCCAGGCCCTGAAAGAGCAAAACCCAGAGCAGGTCAGAGCTGCAGACCCAGGACGCAGCCTGCTCAGGCAGGTCAGGAGGCTTCCTTACTGACCTCCCCAGCCTTGCTCCAGCAGGCCGGAGCACAGCAGCCACCCCACCCACAGACGCCTTCACCTGTGGTTTGCTCCCTGCCTCATTCCTCTTCCCTACTGCCCCTACTGATTTTAACTTAAGAAAACCTTTTTAAGTTCAGTACCTTGTACTTCTCCAGGTATGGGAGTAGGGAGAAAAAGACAGGCCAGCAAACAAACTGAGGTGGACTGAACACAGGGTGACCCATACTGTCTCTGGGCCTCCGGCCCCTCCCTTACTTCATGCAGCCAACTTTCCACTAACCTGAATAACAGATGGGGGTGGGGAATGAGGGAACCCAAATCACACTTGAACACCACGCTCAACATGGGGTGCAAAAGGATTTAACAAGAGACTGAAAGGAAGCAGCTCAGGAGAGAGGGGGCAGGAGAGGAGGATGTAATAAAAGGGACTAGAACCAGAGGGACTCCAGCGGAGGGCCTTGAGGGAAATGGCTGGAGGCCTAGTGAGGAGTCTGGGGCAGGAAGCAAAGGAAGGTGCAAAGGAGGGCACCTCACCCCAAGGCCCCATGTGCCTCTGGGCACAGCGCAGCCCCAAAGACCCCACAGCCAGGGGTTCCCACCGTGGCTCCTGCTAATCCATGATTCTTTTTTTCCTAACGCCTTATTCTCTTTTAGTACAATTACCTATTAACAGGTTAATCTGACTCCAGGTATAAACAGAGCTAAGTGTACCTGTCTTTCTGTGAAACTATCACTGGTTTCTTAGCAGACAAACCAGAAACCCCCTCTAGAATATGTCATCCCAGAAAAGATGGAGAAACAAGGCTCGACCGAGCATCTCTGGAGCTCAGACGCAGACCTTGGGTTTGCCAGCCCGGTTGGTAACCAGCCGGAGGTCCTTCACGGTGCCATGAGCTTTGCAGATTTCCTCCAGCTCCTCTTTTGTGCAGGAGAAAGGCAGGCCCGAGATGAACAGCTTGTGCTTCTCCAGGGCAGTGCTGTACCTGAACACCTACAGGAAGAACAAAGGAGAGAAAATCAACAACTCAAGGCCCAGCCGGCACACCACCGCCGCCGGGTAGGTCCCAGCTCATCCACAGCAACTCGCCCCGTCAGGGGAGCCGAGTCAAACCTGGCTCTGTCACCTAGTGACTGGGTCACCCTGGGCATGTCACTCAACCTCTCTAAGCCTCTACTTTGTCTGTAAAATGGCAAGAATAAGAGTAGCTAATCTAAAGAGTTTGGGTGAGGATTCAGCGAGGTGATACATAAAACAGTTAGCACAGTCCTTGTCACTGTGAAGCATTTAACAGAAGAGCAGCCAATATTACAATTCTTAATTTTATCATTGTTAACTACTGCAAGCTCAAAGTGACCAAATCATAAGCCAGACCTCAGTTAACTTGCTCAAAACAGACCTCAACAAACTTGTTAATTCTTCGTGCAGTACAAAAATTCTGTGTATATTCTAAATACAGTAACACCTATGAGAGCCAGAACCTGGCAAGACTGCCTTGTTTTTCCGGGTCCGCAAGTTTTCCGCCTTTGACAGGGTGCAGCCTCACCACTTTTCTCTCACTCACTTGAGTGGAAAATATCTGAGTTTTCCTTCTCTGACAGGTTTCCACCTTACATAGGTTCTGGCTTTTGCAGGTTTATTGTCTTAGCTGCTGCAGGGGAAAAACGTGGCTAGTCTTTGTCTAAAGCAACCCTACACAAGAGGCCTTCTTTTTTCCACAAACATACCTTAAAATCAGGATTTTTGCTCTTATCCACACAGGGGGAAACAAACATTGGCCTCCCTTCCACATTTTTACGGTCCAACTCCAGGGCCTGCAGGGCCGACTTCTCATCTTTAAATTCCACGTAGCAGTACCCTCGGAAGTCCCCACGGTTGCTGAAGATGGGGCGGATCTCGGCGACGTCGCCACAGGTCTCGAAGAGAGGCCTGAGCTTCACGTCTGGCTCCTCCATGCTGTAGGGCAGGTTGCTGACGAAGACCGTGATGCTGTCCTTACTGCTGTCATGGGGCACCTTGGCCATGTCCCTCTTCAGGGAGGCAGCCTTTGCCTTCTGCTTGGCAGGGGGGTCGACATGCACAGGTGCCCTCTTCCCAGCCAGTTCTGCTTCCATGCCTATGCCTCGTGCTTCGTCGGCTGGAGGGACGCTGTTCTCAACTCTCCTGCGTTTGGAAGGTTGCTCTGCAGGTTTTCAAAAGAAAAACAGCAACGATTAATGATTTTTTCTCTTCGGTAAGCTGTTAAATGTACTTATTAAGTGAGCGAGTTCTTCCCACTATAAATGGTTGATCTGTAATCTGTAACAGCTGCACTTGACAACACTCATTCCTCAGTCCAGATGCTGAGGTAGAGGTACAGGTATGTCCTCCATCAAAGTCCTTCTTGGCCCAGCAGACCTGTCCCACTGTTTCCTGGGTCCCATGTACATCCAGGTAAAGGGACTCAATCACGTGGAAGTGAGAACATTAATTCTAGAACCCCTATCCTAGAAAGCCCCATAAAGCAAGAAAGGGATGGGACCTGGGAGTCTGCATTTCAGCAAGCACCCGAGGTATCTCTGATGTATGTGCTCCATGGGCCACTCTGAAAAGCACGGCAAGGGACAGACATGGTCTAAATAACTCTCAATATTGTTTACGTCCTTCAAGAAAGTTGAACAACATTCTTAATCCCAACCCATTCTCACCACTGCCTCCAGAGGGACACTGTGGAACCTCAATCTGACCTAAGCCCCCTGCTAACGGTCCTTTCACTCTAGTACCCACTGCCTTCCCAATAAGGTCTAAACCCTTGCACACTGCAGTCAAGAGCGTCCCTGAGCAGGGCCTGCCTCCTGCTGCAGCCTCATCTACCACTGCACCTGCCCCTCTGCCATGCACGGGGTGCAAACCCACCAACCTGCTGCTCACAGAAGATACCGGGCTGTTTGGGGCCTTCACGCTTTGCCAGCACTGCCCGTCTGGCTTACCCCGCCCTCCTTTTCCACTTGACAATCACTCCCTCCTCCCCTGATGGCGAGGTGCACGCATCCTTCCTCCGTGAAGTCTTCCCTGCAGAGCTGACCCATCAGTGCCTTCTCTGGCCTCTACCACGATTCACACCTGAGTCTCCCACAGCCCCAATTGTACAGCACTGCGGTCACAGGGTGACATTTGCCTCACTCTGCTCTGAAGGGCGGTAAAGGGACAAATGGAAATCACCTGACAGGACACAATGAGAAGAGCACAGCACCACTCCTAGGCCACTACTGTCAGACACATGACCTGAAGCTCATCATGAGGAAACATCACACTAACCCAGGCTGAGGGACACTCTACAAAATGAGAGGCCTGTCCTCTTCCAGAGAGTCAAGATCATGAGTGTCATGGGAAGACTGAGGACTGTTCCAGACTGAAGGACACTCAACAGACAGGACAACTAAATGCAACGTGTGGTCCTGAACTAGATCCTTTGGCTACAAAGGACACTAGAGAGACAAGTGGCGAGCCCTGACTGGGGTCTGAGGATGAGACGGTTGTAACGGATCACTCTTAACGTCCTGATTTTAATGGCTGTATTACAGTTCTGTAGAAGACACACACCCTAGAGAAGGGTGATGGAGCACCGTGCCTTGCTCTGGCCTGCTACCACTCCAGCCTCCAGGAAAAAACAAGTTCTTTATACTGTTCATGCAACTTCTCTGTAAGTCTGAGACGTTTCAAAATAAAATTTCTAGAAGTGTCACCTTCTTCATCATCGCCCCACTCTTTCTCATCATCCTCATCTGCTCTGTGTTTGTCTCCACCTCGGATCTTTTTCTTCTTTTTCAGTGCTTTCTTCTCAGCCCGGGCCTTCTTCCGGTGTTCAGCCTTTTCTTCTTCTTGCTGGGCCAGGGCTGCTTCCTTCTCTGCAGCCTGGAAAATTGAGAATGTGACGCATCATGGGGTACAGCAATGACATGAACTGCACTGACTTGGGGCAAGAAGAGAGGGGAAAGGGAAGAGGGAGTGGACATCCATTAACCCATTGCTGTTGAGTTGATCTGAACTCACAGCAACACTACAGGGAACAGTACAACTGCCCAACAGGGTTTCCAAGGCTGTACTGTATTTTTACCCAAATAACGTGAGCCTTCTTCATTTGTCTGCCAACAGCGCCCTCCCCACTCAATGAATTTTCATAAGCGTGCTATGCTAATCTTTTTCTTACAGCAACATGTGAAAAAACACTGGCATAGCAGTGCTTATGAAAATAACTTGAGGGAAGAGAGCACCATTGGCAAACAAACTGGCAAACGCAAAAGGCATGTGTTATTTGCATAAAAACAAGGTAATCTTCATGGAAGCAGACTGCCACATCTTTCTCCCGCAGAGTGGCTGGCTGGTGGGTTCAAACCACTGACCTTTTGGTTAGCAGTCGAGTGCTTAACCACTGTGCCACCAGGACTCCTTGGAAATCCATTACCCAAGTGAAAAGAGAGATCATGAAAAAGACAAGAGGACATGCACAGAGCTCTCCTGCTGCCGGGCTTACCCGGGCTTCTTAGGATTCTGTTATCTCAAGTCCACAGTTCTTTTAACAATATCCTCATTAATATCTTCACCAAAAAAAGGAGAAACTCTAACACTGGGGCCTAAGTTATTATGGGGTATTCATCTTCTGTTCATTAGGTTAAGTGAGGCTTCCTTGTCACATATAGACTAAGAAGGACCTGACCGGCCCTCTTCATTCTTTTTAATCAATTCCAATAAATATTAGGGCCAGAATTCCCCACTACATTAAAGAATATTTATTGCTGGGGCTAAAGTTTTAAAATGATCTAAGAAGATGGCATACAACAGGTTTAAATACTGATTCAAATATTTCATAATTAATACTCTCAAAGAGTAAAAGACACTTCTTAAGAAAACCTAAATAGTTTTGACAAGAAATTATCATAACAAACACAGACAAAATTGCCCGCAGAGGTTCCAAAGATTTCAAATAAATACCATCATTACCTTTATTCTCTGCTCATTAACACGAGCTAGCCGAGTTTCAGTTTTCTGAACGGCTATATCCCAATCTTCTAAAGTACCTTGATATAAGGAGAAACAAACTTTCACTTTTTAGGTTTTTGAAGAATGTAATACAAAATTTTCTTAATTCCCCCAGACCTCCAGAAGTGATCTCTCCCATCAGTCAAAAAGCACAAGAGAGTCAGCTCCCCATTTTAAGAAAATGTTAATTAGTGTAGGTTTGAGATTTAGAACTCAACTAGCCCTTCCAGGTTTGTTTAAACTGTCTCTTCTTCAGAAAACAGACTTGAAAGCTAGAATGTAATCTATTACAGGGTCTCAATGGCAAAGATTATGAAAAATTTTAATGCCAAAAAAAAAAAAAAGACATTTATATTAAGACTGAAGAATTTTAAGAGCTCAAAGAGGTGAACTGTCCTTCCTCAAAGTGATTAATGTTGCGATGTCTCTTGTTTTTGCTGCTGTTGTTACTGTCACTGTCGTCTTGGTGGCTTTATTTCCGTTCTGAGACACTCACACCAAAACTCCACACCAGCGCCCAAGGGGACAGACTCACGCTGTTTCCCTGTTGGTCACGATCACACACTTTAATGTTGAAGGCCCTGACCCGACCAGGGATGCACATGTGACCCACACACACACTGCTGACTGCCTGCGCGCTCCTGGAGTGTGCACAACACTGTGCTAGAGCAGGGGGTCTCAACAGGGCGAGCCTGCCCCCCACGGACATTTGACAGTGTCTTGAGACACTGCTGGTTTTCATGACTGGGGGGCTGCTGAACATCCTACAGGCACAGGACAGTCCCTCACAACAAAGGATCCTGAGAAAGCCTGCGCGTGAGCTCCCTGCCAGAGCCCTGCTTGCACATGGAGATTTGAGGAGCTGCAGGAGGGCTCACTCTCCTGGCAGAGCACCAGGAGACATTCTAAACATCCAGCACCCCTGGAGCGGCTGTAGCTGGAGAAACAGTCTGTCCGGACAGGAGCTCAAATACCAGATGCTCCTACTAGCGACCAAACGAGAAGCAGAGCACTGAGGATCCCACCTTCTGTCCTCTCCATGGTGAGCAACACTTCACAGACGTGCTCGGGGTAGTCACTGGTGCACTGGACAGCCCGGTGGAGAGCCTTCCGGCAGTGCTGGGTGTCGCCATGCGCCCTAGGGCAGAAAACAAACAGCTGCTGTCTTCTCCCCACAGGCAGTGCCAAGGGACCAGAGCTCTCTGACAGTCTGAGCTTCTGAAGAGACTCTAGCTTTCAGAACTATCCACACCTGTTTACACTAGCACTATTTCTGTTTTCTCCTTTTTTTTTTTTTTTTTTACAAAAGAAGCCTTATAGTGAAAAACTAAAGCTTCCTCATAACCCACTCTTTCCTTACCAGGTAGGTACTATCAAAAAGGGGACATGCGACAGTGCTTTGCAACACTTTGTCTTTACAACATTTCAATGTACAGCACATGGGGGTGGGGGGTGGGGGTGGGTGTTAATCTAGCAACTCTCTGTAATGTGATAGTCCCTAAAGAAACTGCATCCAGTCCTACCAGAGCGGAGAACCACTAATCCAATGGAATGTTGAAAATCATGCCCAGAGTCAGATCTTTTTGTACTGACATGGAAATACAATATGAATCACAGTTAGAAACAGTGAGAAAACAGTATGTCCTCATTTCTGTTTAAAAATTACTACGAATACATACAAATATTTGTAAATACTATCAGGACAATGAGGAAAACTTCAGAGCAGTGGTTCTCAAAGTGGGATCCACGTACCCCTGAGGGCCTCCAAGGCTCTTTTAGGTGGTCCGCCAGGTCAAGCTGCTTTCATAATAACACCAAAACACTGTTTGCCTTTTTCACTGTCTGATGGTGGGAAAGCAATGGTGGCCCTTAGCACAGATCAAGGCACTGCACACCTTTCTGATACTCTGTGACGAAATGGCAAGTACACACAAAGCATTCCTGCTGCAAACCGAAGTACAATGGCTGTCTCAGAGAAAAGCATCTGCTGTTGTCTGAGCTGTGAGCTGCACTAGTTACTTCTTCCATGGAATACCGTTTTTACTTGAAAGAAAAGCTACCTGACAAGCTATGGTTATTCAGCTATGGCAATCTGGCACATTTTCTTGAAAATTAACAAAGTGAATCTGACCTCAAGGAAAACCACACAGTACTTATTGTCCGTGATAAAAATTCAAGCTTTCAAGTAAAAATTAAAATTTGGGAAAACTTTTGTCTGCCACTCCCGAGTTTGACAGCTTCCTCCTTAAGACTCTTCTATTGAGACAGGTGGGGATGAACATTTTTATTTATTTTTTTTAACCCTGTCCAATGAAATGTTTCAACATTTGGGAGAACTATATGACTCAGTCAATCAATTTTTTCCAAATGACCAATGCACGATGTTACAGAATAATCCATGGGTAAAAGGTCCACTCAAAATGTAAAACAGACCAATGGATATTAATGTAACAGAGCCTGGAAAATTCACTGACATAGTCTCAGATTCTATACTGCAACTGACCTTTAAGAAATTACCATTTGTTGAGTTTTGGTGTAGAATGAAGGAAAAAAAGAAGAATGTCCACAATTATCTGAGAAGGGTACTGAAATACCTTTCTCTTTTCTAATTTCGTATCTATGCAAGGCCAAATTTTCTTCATATTCTTCAATGAAAACAACATATCACAACAGAGTTCAGAAGCAGATATGAGAATCCACCAGTCTTCCACTAAAGCAGACTAAAGACATTTGCAAAAATGTAAAACTCTGCCACTTTTCTTACTACATTTTTAGGGATTTGGAAAACACAGTCACTTTTCATTTAAAAAAAAAGTTATTTATGTTAAATATAATGTAGTTATTATTCTGAAATAAATAAATTTTTTTTTTAATTTCTGTTTTAATTTCTAATAGAGTAAATGTTAACAGCTATAACCCATATAAACAAAAGCTCTTTGGGGTCCTTAAAAATTTTTAAGGGTATAAACGGGCCCTGAGACCAAAAAGTATGAAAACCACCTCTTTAGAGGAATATCAACAAGCTTTAATAGCTGTCATCTCTTGGGGTGGGATCATAGAAAATGTTCACTTTCTATTATATATTTTTGTAAATGTTCGACTTTTAAATTTAGAAAGTATTAGTTTTTAAATCCAGGAAAAGACTAAAATATTCAAAAAGGAAAAAAGGTAGTATAGGAATATATTAACTGACATGTAATGTTCAAGGCATATTGAATAAAAAACCCAGTCATATTCTTTATAGCTTTCCCATGCTGTAAATAGTACTGGGTACATATTTAATTAAATTAGCTTGAGAAGTTTATAACATGTACATTATGATTACATTTTTGTAAAAAATAAAGTAAAATTTAAGCATAGAAAGTCTCAAAGAGCATACACCAAACCAATATACACCAAACAGTGGTCACATCTGGGTCAGTGACTGCTAAGTGACTGGACATTTTTCTCTTCGCTTTCTAATATTTTCTTTTACATACAAAGCAAACAATTTTTAAAAATAAGTCAAATTAGACATTCAAGTCCAAAAAAACAAACAGATTAAAAGAAACGCATGGCTATAAGAAGAGCCCCAGGCACAAAATACTGTTTGGTTCTCTAGCCCTGCCCAATAAAAATACCTCCAATAATAACAGAGACAGGATGAAGGAAGGCAGCTAGTTCTGTGAAGCAAACCTAAGCTGGCAGGGAGTCAGCTAGGACTGAAGGCAGGTGTCACTGCCTCCCCCAGTTCCAGGTCGGTTACCTTTCCAGGTTGTAATATTCAAGCCACATGTTGGCGTACTTGGCGTTTCCTTTGGTCATGATGCTGTCCCAGAGTTCCCGGGCTTTCTGCATATTATTGCACAGTCGAGCCTAAAACGAATTAGCAGGCTTAGTGAGGAGAGGACCTGAACCTTAGGACACCAAGACGTGTCACTGAAGAAATTTCAAACAGACATGCACAAAAAGACTCCCTGTGACTGTCAGTGTTACAGAAATCCTTGAACATTTCCCAGGCCCCCTCCAGCCTTTCTACAGTGACAACTGTCTGCCAATGCCTCTTGATAACAAAGACTGGGAGCCCACGGCACTTAACAGTATTGGATCGTTACCTGGTTTTTACTTTTATCAAATTTAACAAGTATTTGAGAGACAGTGTAGAAGAGAGAAGAATTAACTCGGCAACAGGTTTGGTTTTTTTTTTTTTTGGTAGAGAAAGACTGACCTAGGATCAAATCCTGGCTCTACCACTTACTAGCTAAGAGACCTTGGGCAAGTGACTTAACCTCTCTAAGCCTCAGTTTCCTCGTGTTTAAAATTATTATAATACAAACATCCTATCCAGAAACTACCTGATCCACATAGTAGTCCTTTGATAAACGTTAGCTTCTTCAACCCAACTCCTCCTCAGAGAACAAAACATGATTAGAATTTTATAACTCTATCAGCCGATCATGGGCAGGCTCCAAGTCTTACTCATCTTGGTGTCCCTGGCCCAGTATTAACTCATTATATTTTCTAATTACTTGTCAAAGTGTGTCTTCCACACCTGATCAAAGCCTTACTAGCACAGGGACTGTGTCTATCTTGTTCCACCAGCAACTAGTCAAGTGCCTGGCAAATAGCAGACTCTCAATAAGTATGTTCTTATGAATGAGGAAACAAGGGAGGGAGGGAAACAAGTGAATGCCTGGCATTCGAACATGTGCTGAAGAGCTTCCACCTGGGAGCTAGTATCTTCACTAACATAGAAACAAATGTGCATTGAGCTAGATAAGTAACATAAATCCTTGCCGAGCCTAGACATCTATACCTGGCTCAATTTTAGCTAAGTTGTTAGATAAAGATCCTTCAAAGGCAGATGAAACTGGCGGATCTGTCAAGAACATTTACCTCAATTCTAGCCCAGTTCTGCATGATCACGCAGCTTGGGTCTCCACTCTCGTTGAAACCTTCAGAGGACAGAATTAGTCAAAGTTGGAAGGGATTTAGAGACAAACCGCCCTTGGCAGAGAAAGTAAATCAACCAATAATAGGAAGCACAACCAGGCACAAGCAGCGTTTGAGAGCCACACTTACGCTCTTCGACCTCCTGTTTCAGATACTCCAAAGCACGAGTGAACGTGGACCTCAACTCTTCCAGCTCTTTACTGGAGTCTGTTAGAAAGTGCAAAAAAGGTCCGACTTTATGAACCCACGTGGTACACCATTTTTATTATCCCTACACTGCAATCACCTGGAGCCTACTATCCACCTGGTATCATGCTGGGGACACAGCAGTCAGACTCCCCGTCCCTGCCCTCATCGCATAGTGGGAGGAAAGACAACCAACACAGAGGACAGTGTGGACAGCACAATGACAAAAGCAAGCACAGGGCTGTGTGGGAGCACAGCAAAGAGAGGCTCCCTGAGCCAGGGTGACACAGGCACATGGAACGGCTGACAGCTACCTCATGTGGTAACAGCTGAAATGGATGTGCAAGTACAAGTTAAACGGGATTTTTCTGGTTGCTATTTGAGGCACGGTGGGGGTCAAGGACGGGATTCTGCAGAGGTCCAAAGGTTTACAAGAAACATGACAGTCTTATTTAAAGAACTATTTAGGATATGTAGAAAGGGGAGGAGAGAGAAATGAGAGATGAACATAAAGAGGGTGGCAGAAGCCAGCACAAAACATAAGAACCATTACTCTCTTCCTTTACAATCCACAGCATGACTTGTTAAAGACAAAAATAGCTAAGATTTCTGGGGAGAAAGAGTTATCAATGGCCAGTCTACAGCATTTGCCCAGTCACAATGTATTCGGGCCACTGGGATATCTCACCAAAAGATGGGGTAAGAAAAAGTTCAGTTCTGAGGTGAAACAGGTGAACTTAAATACCTTGTTGGAAATCAACCCTTCTCCTCAGGTAATCAAGGTACGCCTGCCAAATCTCCACATAATCGGTGGCCTGAATAAAGCCGGCATTCAAAGCTTTCTCGAAGGTCGCTGGAGTCAAAGAAAAAGTCAGGATTTGTTGCCAGTTCACAAAGCAGCCAATATAAAGTTATTGAGGCTATTATAAAAACCTCTACCAACAAGAAAACACTACATAGCTTTAAAACAAAAGCAACAGAGTGCCAGAGTGAGCTAAAGTGAAATGTTTACATGACAAGCTAATATAGCACTGCCCAAACTGTGTTCTAGAAAGCAGTTCCACAAGATGCCCTGCAGTTAGAGTCCTGGGGTCAAATTAGTTTGGAGAAAAGTCCATGACATCTTAGAAAATCACAATGATATGAGCATGTTAAAAAGCTCTAAGAAGCCAAGATCCTAACCAGTTTATCTCCCACTTTAGAGCCCTTTTTTGACTAATACCCAATATCCCAAAGCAACACTCTGGCGAATTATGATTTAGTAACTTCACCGTGGTTGTATGTTTCTAACTTGGGGCATAAAGCTTGCAAGTCCTCCCACAAAAACATTCGCACCCGAAATCTTTTGATGATCAACTTCGTATCTCTCCATGGCCAGGAGATACCGACTCCACAGGGCGACTGTCCAGGGGCAGTTTCTAACAGCACGATTATGTACCGATAAAACCAAATCCTTGACTTTCAGCTGCCGATCCTGTGATAAAGAATTCCACCGTCAGGAGATAAAATTTTATTGTTAAGACTTCACCATCATGAGACATTTCCAGCACAATCAATTGACAGAAGAAATTTCCTTAAGAATACCTCTTGTGACATGGTTTTTTCAACAAATAAATTGCAAAGAGAGGTTAGGAGGGAGAAGAGAGGTGGAAGGGGGAGCGTATAGATTAAAATAACCTTAAGAGACATCAATCAACCCTAAAGTAAGGACCTTGTTTGGCTATTTATCAATGAAATGTGATTTCTGGATTTGCTTCAACATAGTACAGAAGGGGGGAAGTCAGTGAGGATATAGATGAAACCACACTAGCCATGAGTTAAAAACTGTTGAAGCTGGGTGATGGGTACGTGAAGGTTCATTTTACTAAATAAAATTGTCAACTTAGGTTTTATGTTTAAATTTTTTCCATATAATAGTTATAAGAAAAAAATCAGTATTATACAGTCCTCAATAATAAGCCTATACACCAATTTTTCTCCAGTCAGTGATTGGTTAAAAATACCTTAAAACACCAAGAGAACTTGGTCAGTGAGTTGGCAGGAGGAGCCAAGGGCAATGGGAGAAAAGCGAGAAAGGGCAGAGAGGGGCAGCCTGCCCCTCTTGCTGGTTTTTTTTAAATAGATTCTAAATTGTTTACAACAATAAAAATAAAATAAAATTAGAACAGTGAAATGATCTCACCAGATACTGACTGTAGCGGATCCACAAGTCAGGGACGAGGCAGTTCTCGACCAGGGCACGCTCAAAGATCAGCTGAATGCGAGCGGGATCTCCGACTTTCATCTCAAAATCGATGTACGCTTGATACTCGGCTAGCCTCGGCGCCTCTGCTTGCAACTGGAGGAAAGGGAAAGGGCACTGACACTGAAATGGGTCACTTGATGCTGTCAGGCAGCACAATGTGTCTTCAAATAAAATCAATTTGGACGAGACTGGCCAAGAGATGAATCCCCAAATCCTGCCTCCTGGAACGTCTCCACAATGGGATCTACACTGTGATAAGCAGGATGAGAATCTCGTCTGGTCCAAAGTGCTTCCTCATGGCAAGTCTCTAAGGCCTCTGGACTCTTTTCTAAATCCATTCCTGGACCACAGGGAACGTAAGTCTTCCATCTATCCGGAACTGAATTAAAGAGAAACACGTTTTCTAATGACTGCTGCTGACCATCCTTCCAAAACAGAAGTCCCTTTCTGGACCTACCAAGTGAAGTGAACAAAATCAAACCGTGATAACCCAGTACCTGCATTAGTTCAGGTTCCTCATTCTAATGGTTCCAAAACAGTTCCTGCAAATGCGCTGAGATGCAGGCACAAGATGGAGGAGGCTGTGCCGAACATTCTCAGGTCCAAAGACGTACAACCACAATTCTTATTAGACAAAAGCCCCACAATCAATTTGCTTTCTCTTCAGCCACACTCTACTGAGGGCATAACAAAGTTTAAGTGATTGAGGGTTTCATCAAGGAGGCTTTGTGAAACACAAGTGCATATTAATCATTTACACACAGAAAAGAAAGGGCAAGAGAGTGTGTGCAGGCGAGCAAGATGACAAGCGAAGCAGCCATCTAAGATACAACTATCGGTCTCTACTCGTCCGGGGCAAAAGAGAAAGAAGGAAACCAAGGACTCAGAGAAGGAACTAGTCTACAGGACTAATAGTCTACACAAACCATGGCTCCATCCACCCTGAGACCAGAAGAAATAGATGGTGTCTGGCTACCACTACCAACCGCTCTAGTCAGGCCCACAACAGATAAACTCTGACAGAATGGAAGAAAAAATGTGAAACAGAACCTCAAACTCCTAAAAAAAAAAACAGACTTACTGAACTGGTTGAGACTGGAGGACTCCCCATGACTACTGCCCTGAGATACTCTTCAAATCGTAAACCAAAACTAGCCCATGAGGTCACCTTTTAGCTAAATAACAGATTGGCTCCCATATAAAGAATATCTTCCGTGAGTACTGTGCTCCTTTAAAAAATCATTATATGAGACCAAACAGCAACAATTACTTTAAAACAAAGATGAGAAAGTAAGGGGCAGAGAAACTAGATTAATAGAAATGAAACAACCAGAACAGAAATGTTGAGAATGCTGACACTTTGTGAAGAATATAACCAATGTCACTGAACAATTTGTGTAGAAATTGTTGAATGGGAACCGAAACTGCTGTGTAAACCTCCTCGAAAAACACAATAAAATATTATTTTTTAAAAAAGAGGACAAGCGAATGCACAGGCTCTGTGCACAGAAAGACAACATTTCAGAGAGTCGGTTTCCAGTAACAATGCTGAATTAGTCACCCAGTCACACTCTGCCATTTTAAACAACTGAAACTGCTGGATTAAATATAAAAAACATCTTCTTAACGGTCATCAACGAACTGGCAAAGGAACAAGAAAGAACTACTAAGAGCAAAATCTGAAGGAAGGCAGCAAGTGGAGTAGTGAAGCCAGCTTTCGGTGGCTTACCATATGTTAAGAATTTGACATACACCTATGAGGCAGGCACAATTACTATTCCCGTCTTAATATTTGAGGAAACTGAGACACAGGGAAGTTAGGAGCTTAGCCCAAAGTCAGAAAGCTAATAAGTGGCAGAGCCAGAATTCAAAACTGAGCTGATCTGGCTCTACAAGTCTGTTCTCTCACTATGAAACACACCAGAACAGAGTCTAGAAGCCCAACTAACCTCAGGCAGGATGCCTGCACCTACTATAAGGACACTGCAAGATGCCAAAACATACTGAAGAGATCTTAAACATCAGCCAGAGAAAAAACAACCATCACCTTCAAAGAAGCAAGAGCTAGCTGACTTTTCAACAGCAACAATGAAGCCAGAAGACAAAAAGACAGCCATTGCTGAGAAAAAATAATTATCAGTCTAGAATTCTATATCCTAAGGAAATAAATTGTTTCACATGCATGCAAAAGCTGGGCAATGAATAAGGAAGACTGAAGAAGAACTGACACCTTTGAATTATAGTGTTGGCAAAGAATATTGAATATACCATGGACTGCCAAAAGAACGAACAAATTTGTCTTGAAGAAGTACAACCAGAACGCTCCTTAGAAGCAAGGATGGCCAAGACTACGTCTCACATACTCTGGATATGTTATCAGGAGGGATCAGTCCCTGAAGAAGGACATCATGCTTGGCAAAGTAGAGGGTCAGCGAAAAAGAGGAAGAGATGGATTGATACAGTGGCTGCAATAATGGGCTCAAGCACAACGATTGTGAGGATGGCACAGGACTA